TTAAATGTCAGGAGAAAAGAAACAACGAGAAGTTATATATTTTTTATCTTGTTTCTGAAAAATATACTCCCCCCTGAAAACAGTCAACATTAGGTAACTAGTTAACACTTTTAAAGTGATTATTAAAGTGTAAAAAGATCTTTTTACAAATTTTGTGATACTGATGGAAACAGGTACAGATATATTATAATAATTAAAAAAAGGTAATAGAAAAGGAAGGTATTTGATTTACTCTAACTCAAAAATTAATTTGCTGCTCCTCCCTCTGGAGTATTTTGATTTGAAATGGCCACGTAACAGCATGGAGGAGAAAAACAGGAACTGCATCGTCTTGGATAGTTCCCTTCCTACCCAATGTTACAAGTCTATAGCATAAGTTATATGCCTTTACATAGACACATCCAAGCTGTGCCTAAACATATTGATTCTCTGTAATTAGAACCAGAGTCATCAAGAGATACACCTTATCATGCACAGCTGCATTACATCATGCACTGCGATACAGCACTTCAATTACATGAAATGTCACCACAATTTCTGCCCCACCCAGATACCATAAAAACCCTTTAAAACAGATTATCATTATCAATCTTCTTCAGAAGCTTAAAAAGAATGGAGAAACCAATCCAGCCTCAGAAGACATCCAATACTGCCTGCATTTCCCACTGTGACATTACATTCAAGGCACACCTCAAATTAGTTTTTCCACAACACATCAGCAATGCAGCCCATTCTGCAACTCTTGACTTTTCTTATTCTTCCCTTCACTCATCACTTCTCCATTTAGAGGTATTAGCACTTCAGCATGTTTCTCTTCTTCCTCTTTACATGGCTACTATTTTCCCAAGTGCTGAAGAGCATGATGTGCCAAAACCAGCCATGCAGTGAACATTTCTCTTGAAAAAATGTAACAACACTAAGAAACAAAATAGTTAGTTTACTTACTTTCCCAGAGACTAACATTTTTGTTTCAATTACTGCTTTAAAATCCCACGCTCAGCCTGTTTAAATAAACTGTGAGATATTGCAACTAGCTCAGAAATCTGAACCAAATAATAGTTTTTTATAAAGAGAATACCAAGACCAACGCAAACAAATAAATTAGAGTAGCAGCCAGAAAATACTGCCTGAAGAAAAACTATTGAGTGCAAGTCAAAAAGAAGCAGCTATGAGACAAGGACAAAAGCTAATCTGGTATATATAAAAATAGGGGGGTGGTTGTTTTGCTGGTTGAAGGACAATTTTTTTATAAGCGTGGCTTTGTCCTCTGTGTCCACATTTCATAGCCCCAGGAACAAATCTTTGCAAAGAATTGTAAAATGCTGCAGTAGTAAAGTCATGCAAAGTATTGATAACTGCAAAGACATGTAAATCTTGCAAAAAAAGACACAGTACCAGAAAACAAACAAGGTCCATTTATGTCAGAGAATCAAAAAAGCAAACCTAATCACAATGATTTGGGTAGCTGCTTGCAGGATTTGTAGGGGGGAGGGTTGTGGAGTGTCTTATTGAAGAATTTGATCCCATTTGGAAAACAGATTTTTTTCCACCTCTCCTCAGGTTTCAGCCAGGACAAAAGCACTGTTTGTCAGCCTAACATTTTTATCATTTTAGATCTTTGAATTACTTTTCAGCCGATTTTTGTTTCCATACATATCATGCTGGTCTACCCAAATAGTGGGAGAAATTAGCACTGTTAATATTAAGCCTTTTCACCAATTAAAGCAGACAGCCTTTATTCTCACCATTAAATATTACTTCAGAATGGTAAGAAATAGAAATTGATTTTCCTGCATCATAACAGTACACTGCAGAGAGGAAATCACGTATTAACCTACTGAATCTTTCATTACAACCAGACCTACAAGAGGTAGAACAGGTCATGGGATAAAAGAATCCCAAATCTGCACTTACTGCAGCCATAACTAACCGTCCCTACTGCAAGAAAACACTAATCCTTCTTCAAATACTAACACAAATGAATCTCCACAAAAGAGGAAAAATAAAAAATTCATGAGGTGGGCAACAGATTCCAAACTAGCACTGTAGAGGTGATACAACCTTTTTAGAACAGTAAAGAGAGTTAAAACAATAAAGTTTTTATATTTCATTAATAAAAGTAGTTCAAAACATGAAAATTGGAATGTCCACTGTCACAATGCTTAGAAAACTCAGAGACCCTGTTTTGAATAAGAAGCATAGCTTTGTTTATGAAATTAAAAAAACCTGCTTCTCATGTTCACCACAGCCAATTTCTGAATTTAGCAAGCAGTGGGTTTTTCAGCAGGAGGTTGGGAGAGAGGCCTCCAGAGATTCCTTCCAACTTGGACTCCTGAAAAATGTTATTATTAAAAAGAGACATTCCAGAATCAAAAGTGACTACTGCAAAAACCAGAAAAATTAAGAATTTAAGTGCTAGAAAATATAACAACAAGTTCTCCGCAGTTCTAGTACATTTTCAGGTGACATCTTCATAAAGTACCTACACGAAGATGAATGTTGAGAAAAAAAAGTTTGTCCTTATCAAAGCATAATAACTTGAATATTTGTACTATGCTTGTAGGGATAAAATTATTCTTTTGTTGTAGTAGGGATAAAATTCACATATAACTTGAGATAGAGGAGATTCATTACAGTATAGCTGCTTCCAATTCACCTAATAATCAGCAATGCTTCTGGATACCATAGATTTTCTGATAAATACTGCAATAAAAGAATAATTTAAGCACTGAAGACTTTATTTTCACCCTCCATCCTACACTTACGTTTTATGCTATGGTGCAAAAAAAATTTTTAAATGTTAAAATATATTCCCAACTTTAATAAATCTTAGAGAAAGTGGGGACTAGGCATTAACATTTTTTAATTACATTGTTTCAAAATTGTTCAGCTGACTAAACAATTAACACGCAACAGTAAATTTTTGCAAGAGAAGTTAAATAACTTTTTCAAGTCAAACTCTGGACTCTTCAACTCAATAATTCTTGGGTCAGAACAATTAGTAAGAGTAAAGGTGGCTAACGGCAGAGTTCACCAGGGGAAGTAGTGGTTCTTTCCACCTATCACTGTTCTTTGTCCACTTTGCTGTTTCAGATTAGGCATATTCTCTATGCAATATATGAGTCACATTTTCATCCCTCTCCTAAACACATGCCTCTTTAAAGAGAGGACTCCAAGGCATCCTTCTGTTCACTCTATCCTCTTCACCAAAACATCTTTCATTTCAACGTCTTTCTGTATGTGATGCATGTGCAACATGTATGTGTAACAGGTCCCAGCAGCAGTGATGGCAATAGAACCAGTTTCAAATCACAGGCATCCTCGCTGAAGTACTCACAGCAGCTTAAACACAAACTGAAGAGTTAAAAATAAAAGGTCACTGAAGGGCTTTGTGAATAGAACTTTCTTCCGCTGCCCAAAAGGGAAAACAGTGAGTTGAAAAGTTTTGGTCTTAAAGTAACTTGGTTAAAACTAAAGACATTTTTCAGACAGAAACCTCTAACCACAGACACTAATCTACTACTTTGCTACTGCACGACCAGTCAAGAGTCCCTGTTCCACACCAATGGTAGTGGTGGTTTTTATTCTGTTAATTGCTTCTTGCAAAGGGGGTGATAGAAGGATTTTTTTTTTCCTTAAGTCTACTAGAACTTTCCCCAAAGATTAGTCATCTCTCCCTAACAGGAAAATATTTTGGTTTCATTTATTAGCATTCCTGTATGAAAGGAAGACAAATATTCTGTTGAGAACTAAAAAAGTAAAAACATGTTTAAGTAGTCCTGCAAGGAGTTGGATTATCCTTATGGGCCCCTTCCAACTCGTGATATTCTGTGAACTCTAACAACCTTATTTAGCACTACATGTTGTAAAGCTACTTTCATTGCACCTCAAGACACTGTAACTGTGCATAACTTACGGCCACTGATCCCAAAGAACTTATTTAGAAAAAGCTCATTAGCTTTATTTTCATACCAATTGGACTGGCATGTGTCAAGTTTTATTTTCCTTCCAAGACATTTGAGAAAATTTCAAATTACATGCCATTACCTCAACATGCTCAAATTTCTATACAAATTAGTTCAGCAGCTCTCTTCAGAGGAACTTCACTGAAATAAGACACCCCCACATAATAACTGCTGAATAACGCAGTTTAAGACCGTATAATAAAATGCTCAACTAACCACAGGCTGCAACTGAACTGCTATTTCAGCCAAGTAAACTGGCTGAGGACTTGTCTGGGGCCAGTTTAAGTATATTCTAGAAGCACAAAAGCAGCCAATCCTCCAGCAGATGACTCGTCATCAATACAAATGACTGCTCACCTAGAGAACATCAGAGACTTAAGTGGCGGTACTTCTGCTAAGAAAAGCGAGCGATGACCTTAGCGGGGCTGGTGCATACCGAGATACCGTCATCCCAAAACCCAACCCTGCTGAGAATACATGACACATACTCATTATATTTATTGATTACGGGGAGAGCCCGACAAGGAAGAGTCCAACAAGGGCTCCACCGCCCATGGCGCCCGGGAGAGCGCTCCCTCCACATCCTCCTTCTCGGAGGCCCGATCCCTCCTCTGCCCCGGGGAGGAGGGAGGTCCCCGACCGGTTTACAAACACGGGCACGGCGAGGGCGACGCTCAGGGACACCTCCCCTTCCCTCCCAGCGCCAGAGCTACCGCGGGCAGCCGAGTTTCCAGCGCGGAGGGCACGGGAGGAGGCAGAGTGAAGCGAGCGGTGGGAAGGAGGAGCGCCGGGAAGGCAGGAGGGAAGGAGGGGGCCGGGGATGCTGCCTGGCCGCCCCGCCCCGCCGCCGGGCCTCCTGGCAAATGGGGCTCCGCGCAGGGGGCTGCGGCGGAGAGCGGGGGAGGGAGGGAGGGGGAGGAAGCGAGGCGGCAGCTCCCCCGCACAATGGCCGCCCGCCCTCCCCCCTTCCTTCCTCCGCCGCCCCGCTCCCTCCCCGGGCTGGGGCCGCCGCATCCCCCGCGGGCCCCGCCGTACCTGCAGCGTCACCTCCTCGGGTCTCCAGTGCGGGCGCAGCCGGCGCAGGAGCTGCAGGGCGCCCTGGCGGTACCCGGGCCCCTCCTGCTCGCTGACGGTGATGTCCAGCTTGGGCACCTCCGGCGAGCCGGGCGGGACGTGGATGTAGTTGGACATGACGGCGGGGCGGGACGCGGCGCGACAAGGACGGGCAGATCTCGCTGGCGTCTCCTCCGCGGCGGTGCCGGCAACTGAGGGGGAAATTTCCACTAGGGCTCCCGATAAAGCGGCTCCACCTCCCCCGGCGGCGGCGCGGAGCAGGCTGGGAGAGCGGGCGGGGCCGAGCCCAGCCCTGCCCTCCGCCCGCCGCCGGGCCCCTCACCTGCCCGCCCAGCCCCTCGGCACCCCCGGTGCCCCTCGGAACCACCCCACCCGCCGTGGGGCTGCCAGGCAGGGGATTAACCAAATCTCCTCGGGGTGGAGCGGGAGCGCGGCCCCGGGCGTGAAGGAATGCGGGGCCGGCAGCTGCGGCGGCGCCGCCCAGCCAGTCCCCGGGCAAGCGGCTGATGCTAAGCGGACTCCGGGGTTATCGGCTGCGCTTGGGGTTTTTTGTCTTTAATTGGCGTGCCAGCCTTCGTAACACCTCCCCTCCTTTCCCCTTTTGTTTGCCCGTGCCCTGCGGGGCCCGTACCTGCTCAGCACCTCGCTCCGCTCCCCGGGTCCAGCTGGGTGCGGTTCGGTACCGTTTGTGGTCCCTCGGGGCACCTGATCTGTGTTCCTGATTTAAACATCCTAACAAAGATCACCCTTTCCCTGAGCAGTACAGAACAGTTACATTCTGTCCTTTTACAGAACAGTTATATTCTTTCCTTCTACAGAACAGTTACATTCTTTCCTTCCTTTCTTTTCCCCTTGTTTTACGCTGAAAACCCTGTTGCCTCGAGGTTATTTTCAGCCAAAAAAAAAAGTAAAAGAAAAAAAAAAAGCCCAGTCTATACCACAGGATTTTACTAACCAAGCAAAAATATTATCCAGTCCTTTTCAGAAATATATTGATGGTCCCCCTAATATTCCTATGAGTACCTGTCTCCCGTCACAGTCTGTGATCTTCCCACATAGGAAACACTGAACAAGTAGTTCTGTAAAAACAGCTTTATTGAGTTTGCTGAAGACACAAGAACTATGTAAATAGAGTAATGGTTGGTCACTTCCCTAAAGAGTTGTTACTCTAAATAGACACACGTCAAGGGAGAGAGAAACAATTTGTGCTCAAGGGAAAGAGAAACAATTTGTGCTCAAAATGTACAGCACCGTGAGGGAAGCAGCTAGTTCTGCAGGTTTAGTTCTCACGAATTTCATGTATGTTCCTCTCCAAAAGTGCAGTGCACTGTCAAATTTCCCATGTTGTCACCCACGACCATCTACTTGTGAATGGGTCTTGTCTTTTACCAAGAATTCCTGTCTTCTTATCACCAAAAGATTTTGCATGACTTCACTATGTAACTGCACCATTGTTTCTATTCCTATTATTTCTGTTGCTCAATAAACAAATTTTCCTTCTGTTGTATTTTAAATGAAAATGGTAAGAAGATCGGGGCCTGAATGAAATTTCAAATGCCGTAGAATTTCCAGATCTAAATGTTATAGCTTGAGTACATTTCTAGTGGTAAAATGCCTTTGTTTAAATCTATTCCCTAAAAAGACTCTTTCAGGTTTTATAACCCTCTTTCCTATGATTTTGTGCCATTTATGTACACTGAGTCAACGCTTTCTTAAAATCTCCTTTCTCCATCTCATCTGATTGGACCTACCTATTTCTTCAATTAGCCCACTCCACTTTTTGTTCTTTAAAAGTACAAATATTTTGGAAGTTAAACACTTTGAAAGAGATTTCTTTAAACACACTCACCTTTATACATTCTTCAGCCCTATAAGTCAGTATTACCATAGTAGCATGGTATCACCCTACCCGATCAAGCATGTGATACATGGTGACCTCTGCTTCTGCTTAGGCAGTTTGGTAGATGATAAACTAAGATTTATTTATGGATTAAGGGCAAAGTGATGCTTTTGTAGAAATAAAGTATCAAAGGTTGAATGCTCCAGCTTCCAAATGTTAATTTCAACAAGAACTCGTCTCAACAGAGATTCAATCTCGCTAGTGCTGAGCATAACAGGCTCTGAGAAGCCTTGCTAACTTACCTAAGTCCGACTAGATTTCCATAAGTTGTTTGAGAGTGTATTTTAAACATAGAGGGGGGAAGTTGGAGCAGCCATAGTGCTTAGATTGTTTCCAAATTATAGGAGCTGAATTTCTGTTTACTAAATATTTCTGAAGTAGATGAAAGAACCAAGAACACTTTGGCAGTAACACCCTCATCTTTTTGGTCATGGTATAAAGACATATCTTTTTTGCTTGTCCTCGTGGAGCATTGGGAATTCTTAATTCCTGTTTTAAAATAGTTCAATAGAAGTTATAGATACGTACTCACATAGTTTCCTTTCCTTTTTACCTTTTGTTTCCTGCAAATATTTGCTGTGTCCAAATCAAACCCTAGAAAACATTTTCTGAAGGCTGGGACTCTTTCTCAAGGTTCCAAGAATAGTACATTTTTCCTCTTTTGAAAAATTTATTTTCATTTTTCTTTTCCCCCCCTCTAGACACCTGTACTCTACAAACTGTGAAATTCCTTAGTAGGAACTCTAGTAGCTACAAAATATTCAGGTCAGCTGTAGACTTGTTCTAAGAAAACCTGATGTTACATGAAGTGAAGGCTCAGGATTAAAGAGAGTGTGTTTTCTCTTAATGCCTTATACATTTGTAGGTACACCATACTGAGGTGACCAATAAGGTCTAAGGCTGATCATAGATCTACACAACATGAAACTGAAGAAAACAGGGTGCTCTGCCTGTCTACCAGGCAGCCTGTCTGCTTATCCTCACTGTTGTACCATTCTCTTCCTTTCTGCTGGTCAGGAGCCGGGTTGTGCGATTTGATCTATTCCTACATTTTCCACCTTGTCTTTACATCAGAGCTGGATGCTTTATAAGCTCTTTAAAAAAGAATAAATAATTAAAAAAAAAAAAAAGGCACAAAGAGCAACATCAGACCCAGAACCAGTTTTAACTTCCCAGGTGCGGTTCACCTGGCTGCTTTCCAAAGCCAGTGATTCAGTAATTGCTTCAGGAGGACTCATTGCATAAATGTGACTATAAATGGAAAATTCACCCCTTCTAGCCATAATTAATTTTTATAACATTTTGCATAGCAGAGAGTCTCAAAATGCTTTCTGTTGTGCTAATCTCACAAATAAAAAACTTGAGTCATCAGAAGGTTAAATCTGCCATTAGACTAGTCAGACAACTGGCCTGAACACAATTTTTTAACTTCCAGTCCAGTCCTTTGATCACAGGATTTCTTCAGTGCTTTCAAGCATGTCATTTCTGTTCATTATCCTGCATGTATTATTTGTGTCAAGATGAATCACATTTCTCTACAGGCAGTGTAAAACTGTAAGTCAATGCTTTTATTTATTTATTTATCACAATGGTTTTTAAAGCGTGTGGTGGCCTAACATCCGTATTGATTTACCAGCAGCAACACTCAACACACAAAGTTGATCATTCTGTCACATTTGTTGTACTCAGTAAACAGATTTCATTTTAATCTTGGTGAAGACGAGCTTGCAATAGTTTATTTTATAAGAATCTTGACAGTTTAGAAATTTCTCTAAGATCAATACTACTAGGTTTGTTGTTGAAATGGTAAAAACTGCTCTCTTGTGCAGCTGCTTGACACAATAATAGGTTATAGCTTTTTCAAGTATATTTTGAAAGCTATATACAACAGCAGAGTACAAGCCTCAATGCTCACTGCAGTTTTATGGCTTATTTTTCTAGTGGGTTACCAATTAGTGACACTCATTTAACACATTCCACGTGATAACCTAGTTCCTGACTAGCTAACTCCTTTTTCCAGCATGGCACTGGCGTGGTGCATAATGTAATGTAGTAACAGATGTGATTACATGGGGAATAGAGAAGTCATTCCCAGCTCTTTCAGCTTTTTGGGGTTTCACCTGGAAACGTCAGAAGTTTCTAGTGGAAGTCTGGACGTCTGTGCCAATAGGACTGGTCACCTCCCAGGCCTCTTCAGATGAATGCACAGGAGTCTTCCCTCTGTGCTGTCCCTGGCTTCAAGTCCATGAACTCACAGGCTGAACTGCCATGAGAAGTTACCCAGTTACATGTCCTGCAGGAAACCTAAGTTAACTAAGCACAACCCTTAAACAGGTCTGTTAATTAATCTCAACACCAGGAAGAGACAAAACCTGATAAAACCTGCTTAGGTCAGTAGGACCACATACATGCTTATGCTTAAGCAGGTGCTAAATCAAAATGAGCAGCTTAGTAAGGAATTCTGCAATTTCTCCATGCTGTACATTTGTTTAGGGCCATTTATAAAACAATATAGCCACTGGGTATAAAGAAAGAATTAAAAAAATCTTCATACTGATTACACCACTCAAAAATACAGGTTAAATAAAGCAGTACAAAATCATAATTAAGGCCAGTGCCTGCATTCATTTTCATAGACATATCTGTATTTTAAAATACAAAGAGTAATTACAAGTTGACTGATCCCTGACTAAACTTGAACTGTACACATGTCCAATGATTTACCATATTCTGGTATTTTTCTCAAGGGCAACAAGTACATATACTGTGTAAGTACCCAAAAAGAGTCTACTTCAGCATATTTAGGATCCCTTGCACACATGAATAAATTCACCTGCAGCAATATAGGAGGAGGAGTTGTATATTCTAGAAATTTACACTTTTCTAACATTTTATTGACTAATCAAACATCCTTCTATGAAGAAAAGTTATAAACATCAGCAATTCAAAACACAATCTGTGAACAAAGACAATATCAAACATGAATTTAAATGTCATGCAAGCTGGTAGAAGAAGCACAAAATGCTTTTTCCTATTTTTAAGGTACCATCAGAATGTCATTCTGTATTCTCTTGTGAAATCCCTAATCAATTTTACAGCATAAAGGAGTGGGGGGAGGAGATAGCTGAACTAAATTAAAACAATTAAAAAATGAGTACAGAATTATCTTAAGAGACTGAGAGTACGGTTATCACATATAAATGACTGCCACTTCACATTCAAACTGAATCAATAATGAAGAAGAGAGAAATCTGGTAGGTTGAGAATGGCAGAGCTCAGGAGTTTGTGAACAGTGGTGCAGAGTCCAGCTGGAGGCCTGTGGTTACTGGTGTCCC